TAGAAGAATATATATAAAAGAACTTCTAAAAAAGAAATTCTATTAGGAATATCTATTAAAAGATATATAAAAATATATTAAAATATATCTAATTTATTAAGAAGTTAAAGTATTTAGATATTATTTTTATAAAGAACTCTAATCCTTTTCTATATCTTATAGATTATTTATAAACTAAGTATAGACTTTATTATAAGACTTCTAATTATAATCTTTAAAGAAAGAAAATATAATATAATCCTAATAATTATCTATTAACTTATAAAATTCTTTTAATTCCTTTTTATATTAATAATAATATCTATAAAAGATCTTATTAAACTTTTTTTTAATTAAATTAAACTTAAATATAGAAACCTAAAGAAAATTATTTTTAATTAAAAGTCTATTTTTATAAATAGATTCTAGTTATAACTTTATTACTATTTTAAGATTAAACTATAATTCTCTATTATATTCTATTCCTAAACTAATAAATAAATAAAAAGACTTAATTAGGTTTTAACGTAATCCACTACCGAGCCGCCAGAACCACCGAGCCGCCAGGCAATCCATACCTAATAGATTTAAACGCAATTATATCAACCAAAATATTAATTCATTGATATTATAACCTATATAGCTCTATTTAGATATGCGTTTCTTTTATATCCCTCATTCCTACATAATCCACACTTTGGTAAGGCTCTCGTACGTAGTTGTAAAGGTAGTTGTGGCCTCTGGGCCCGCCTTACTCCTTATACTACTAGAGGTATAGCCAATGGATCAATAAAGTCTTGAAGCTCTACAACTAATAGACCTGTTTTACGTGGTATCTATTGTCTAGATCTAGTCCTTTTTTACTTCTTCTTCTCCATTCCAGTACATAAATCGCTTATTTCTTTCTCAAGAAAAGCATTTAATTGTATATTGATTTGGTAAGCTTTTAAAATCTGGTTGAGCATAGAATTTAGCGGACTTAGTAGGCTCTATGAGTATTATTTTAGTAGTACTTTAATCAAAGATATTTACTTTTATAATTAGATATAGTTCGAAGGTATTTTTTGGCTCCTACTTACTATCTTAGCTTAAAGAGAGAGTAGGTATTCGAAATTAAATATCAAGCTTTAAAATAACTCAATCAGAGTTAAATAGGACTAAACCAACTACTACAAAGCTATTTTTAATTATCTCCAATTTAAATACTTCGTCTCGGGCAGAAGAGTAAACTTCGAGGAAATCAAATTTATTAATATAATTAATCCCAATCCGCATTTAATTCTCAATAAGTTAACCATACAAATGTTTTAAAACCGCAAAACATCCAACATCAAGAGACTATAAAAGGTATAAGGAATATACTAGTATATAAATTAGAATTATATCATTTTCACTACAAAGTTTATTAAACTTTAGAGTTAAATAACTTCCGTAACTATCAAGGATTAAAAGTTAATATTTCCCCTTTATATAAAGAAAAGTTAAAGGAATAAAAACTTTTTCAAACCAACAAAATCTAATTTTATTAGAGATCTATCTATTTAGACTAACTTTAAGTCGCTAATCCCTTAGAAGACTATTACTCCAACCTTTAATATAGACTTTGCTCTTAAAAACAATATACAAAGGAAGTACCTACCCTAATATACCTATATACTTAATTATAGTTACCTACTAGCAATTTCCAGATTATAAAAGTACTCTCCAACCGTAGTATTCAGCTTTTATTATAATCCTTATAGTTACGATTAAGCCTATTATAAAACTAGTCTTATCGAAGTTATAGATATTATCCAGGTTAATACTATTTTCAAGGATTAATTTTTGAATAAGATCAAACTATTCTTAAATAATCTTTATATCTTCACATTTCGCACACTTATAATTATAGTATCTAGAGAATTAGATTGAAAGCTGTAGATGTCTTTTCATATATTTATTAACCCAATTTTCGCCAACTATTTAAACTAGGATCGATCTACATACGGATAGTAGTAGATTTGCTATTTCTCGTACAATAGTAGACTGAGGGGCTGCTCCACGATTATCTATAGAAAGTATCCATTTTTGAAGCGATTCTTCCTCAATCTCAGTCAATTTATGACCGTTTGCATATGTTTCACGTCGGTTTTGGTGGCTGTATAGTCGATCGCGGAGGGTTATACGAGGCACGTTGAAATAGCGTGCTGCTGCACTAATAGAGAGCTGTTCTTGTTTCTTAATAGCCTGAATAGCTAGTAATATCCGTCCCTCTTGTTCTGTCAATTTTTGACTATTTTGGGTGCGAATTGGTGGCATAGTGGGTAGTTGAAGAAGGAAGGTCTAATTAATTGACGCGTTTCGTGTTAGCCTGGCGGCTCGGTGGTTCTGGCGGCTCGGTAGTGGATTACGTTAGAAGATTATCTTAGATATTTTATTAATAAAAAATAATTAAACTAGATTTAACTTCTTAAAATAATATAATTTATATATAATAATACTATTAATATATTAATTAATAAGATTCTTTTTTATATATTACTTAAATATAATCTTAATTTCTAAATCTAAACTTTTAATAAAATATTAAAAAAAAAAGACTTCTAATACTAAAAAATAAATAAATTACCTCTAGAATATTTATAAAAAGACTATAAATAAGTTTTAAATTATATAGGAAATATAATAAAGATCCTATAATAAAAATTATAAGCTAAAAGACTTTAAAGTAAAAATCCTTATATCCCTTTTAATAAAGAATCTCTACTTTAAAACTAAAGAAAAGAAACTATCTCTCTATTAAATTAAATCTTTCTATATTCTTATAAAAATTAGTACCTAGATCTATTATATTATATTACTAGAAAAATACTTAAGATTATATAATATCTTCTTTATTTCTCTTCTTAAACTATAGAATAGCTAAAATAATAATAACTTATAAATACTAATACTAGAACTTAAAGATAAAAAAGAATAAGAAGTTAAAGAGATTTAAGATAAAAGAGTCTTTAATAAAGTACTATATTATTATATAAAATAAATAGAATAGTCTTTAGAATATAACTAATAAGAACTAGTAGAATATTTAAAAAATATAAGAGATATAATAGCTTTATTTAAGAAAAACTAAGCTTATAAAATAGTATCTTAATAATACTAAAAACCCTCTAAAACCCCTCTAAATTATCTTTAAATTAATACTAAATAAAGAAAGGCTATACTAAATAAGATTATTTAATTAAAAAAGAGAAAGATAAGTAAAATAAAAATAATAAATTACTATAGAATTCTATACTAAGCTATAAGTATCTTAATATTAATAACTATTATTATTATAACTAGAATTAAAATAACCCTAATTAAAGTTATATTATATTAATATTCTACTATAATCTCTATAAAAAAGGATTAAATACTACTTTACTAAAGAGTAAAACTAATATTACTAATCTATAGATATAAAAGATTATTAAGATAGTAAGAAGACTAAATAGAAAATAAACTAGTCTTAATATTTAACTCCTTCTATTACTTAATAATAAATATAGTATATATCCCTATAGCTTAATCTATATTCTATAAATTAAAATAGAGCTTATAACTAGAAAGATAAATAAAGATTATCTTTTAAAAAGATACTAAGAGATAAATAGACCCCTCTATAGCTATAGTCTTACTTTCTTTATTCTAAATAGATATAGTATTACTAATAACTATTATAGTAGTACTATTATTTTAATATTTATATATTTAGTTAAAGATTAATTAAAACTAATATAAATTACTATAAATACTATAAGATATCTAAAATAAATTAGTACTAAATTAAATATAACTTAGAGAAAAACCTTATCTAAAAGTAATTCTTACTATATTTCTTATATAAAATATAAATAATTAAGTTTATATAATCCTAATTATATTTAATCTTAGGAATAGTATCCTTAGGAGAATAAAGAGCTATTTTAGTAATATATCTAATATAAAATATAAAGGAAGAATAAGTAATTTAATTATAAAAAGAATATAAGCTAATAAAAGTACTAGTAATATTCCTATTACTTCTATTAATCCTATTATTTCTATTACTATTACTATTATCTCTATCTCTAGCTTAATCTTTATCTTTAGTTATATAATAACTACTATAATAAGAAAGATTACTAAAAATACTAGAAGTAGTAGTCTTAGATATATTAAAATAAAATAAGATAAAAATAAAGAGTAAAAAGATAGAGAGTTAAGAATTAAAAGCTAAGAAAAAAGAAAAGATAAGAGTTAAAAAGATAAAAAAGAAGCTCTTATCTTAAAGATATTAAAAAACCTATATTACTTTATTTATATTTATATATAAAGATATCTAAAATAGTATTAGTCCTAGAATCTTTATTTAATATAATATTATTAGATATAAATTACTTAATTAAATATAAGTTATATAGATAGTTAAGTTAACTATTATTAAAAGGGAAGGATAAATTATTATAGGATTCCTAAATCCCTTTAGATACAATTTAAATATAATTTATAATTACTCCGTAGGCGAATCTACTATAATATACCTACTAATATATAACTACCCTAAACCCTAGCAAGCTCTAACAATATTAAAATATATAAACAATAGCTACAATTCTTATCCTACAAGAATCAGTTCTATATATCAACTATTCTTTTTAATCTTTACTATCCGATATCCTTACCTACTAGAGCAGAGAGATGAAAGTACTATGTAGACTCGGATGTAAGCCACTACACACTAAAAAGACACTAACAGGCGCTAGGATAAACTAGTATTATTACAGAGATCCCTGTCCACCGTACATGTATACTAGCCAAAACTGGGATACCAAGTGGGAAACCCGGAAGTCCCCCGTCAAACTGAATTCCCTTCTGCCTAAGACCTTTTCCTTCCAACTCAAATCAATATCCCATAAAATCCTTCGCAACTCATTCATTACAACTTGGGGCTTACACTCGTTCACTTTCTCCCTCTTGCATCGCGGCATCGATTGCTGGCCCAAGTTCCAACGAGCACGATGACCAACCCGGGTATTTTCGAAGTGGACTTGGTGTTCCCACGCAATGCGACTTACACCCCCCAGGCGCTGATGCCCATCGTGTGGGCGGTGCAGCGACCAGATATGCCTCCCGCATTGGCGAGCTCAATTACTTGGAGCCTATTAGAAAGCAATAATTATACCGCACCAGGCTCCTCAGACGACGGCCTTATTGAGATGCTCTCGCCATTGCCAGGGAATGAAACGCTGATCTCGAGGTTCTTTAATACCATTGAGTATCCAGATGGATATTGGAATTTGACTTGGACTCTGTGGGTCAACAATTGCTCTCAGGAAGGCTCATCTCAGTACATCTTGAAAACTGGCTCTACAGTATTTACGATAAGCAAGTCGGGCCAGGAACCCGATCTGGTGGCTGCTACTTCTGCTGGTCAATGTGATGCGATGGACGCATATGCCTTCAACGTGACATCCTTCGGTGAAAATTGCGGTTATCTCGGCCCAACTCCAACCACCAATCCGTGCGCCGTGAACATCAGCTCATCCGCCGCCTCCAGTCTATACGCCTCGGCCACTACCTGGTATTGTGCACCCAATACTGTCGACAATCCCAACGTGACCTGTCCGACCAGCACCAGTACGTCCTCTGCCAGCAATCCGGCGAGTCAATCGTTCATGGTCACAAGAACGGCCTTGTTAATGCTACTGGTCGGGATAACCAACTTCATATTGATGGGTTAGATGAGTTCTCCCCTATCGTCACAAAGTCTGTCATCACTTGTAATTAAATGTGGCTTTTATTACATGTGTGTTCAATTATACCATTCTATAGCATCGATTTTGTTTCGCGAACTTTTCACCCCTCGTTTATTACTATTTTCATTCTTATTACTATTACTATTGATATTACCATTATAATTTGGGATTTGTTTTCTCATTCAGGTAATTTTGCGCGATTTATACCACACGCAGGCCAATGGTCTCCCAAGGCTATAGTAATTATGTGCCGACGGCCAAGCTTTGAAGAATTTGATTATCCCCACTTTTATGTTCGTCTACAACAGTAGGAAATTGCTTAGCATCACTTGATGGCACTCTAACCGTCCTCCGTTTGTCGGTATGGAAATTTCAGTCTTTTTGGAAGAAGGCGCACGCCTCCCGGGAGAGGCGGCAAGCCCTTCAAATTTCGAGATTTTCAAATTTTCACATTCCGAACCTCAGGGTTTCAGGGTCTCAGGGGTCTCAGGGTCCATGCAGCTGTTCACACCCTTGAGCAATCATAGCATAATAAAAACCACCAATAAAATGAGGAAAACTCGCCACAACCCAATTAATCTGTGTATCATTGTGGTCCCCACTGTTCTCGGTTGTCTCCGTCCTATCCGTCCTTCCGAATCCCGAGATACGGCCCCCAAAAGGACCACCTCGGGCACCTGGGCACATTTTATTGTATTGTATTTACAGGATTGTCGCTCCGGGTCAATCTCCCAATACTAGGCGAAAGGGCGGAGCGTTCAGTCGTCTAGTTTCTCTTTCAACCGCAAGACTAGTATTCTGACCAATGGTTAGAAGTTCTAAATAGTAAAAGGCTGCAACACTATATTAGCGACGTTGCATCGTGAGATCAAGAATTTCTCTTACTCGTGACTTACTACGGACTCAGTACGGAGTACGGAGCATGGAGTAAGATGTGCGAAAATGGACTGCGTCCATCGGTCCAGTTGTAAATTGGCTGAGGCTGCAGGTAGCGCCGTTCACACTAGACTTCAAGTTGAGATGTATTTTAATTTAACAGATAGCGCAACTGGTTTACCAGACTATGTGGTGAATTGATTTGATGCTTGTAATACGCTAGTATCGTCTCTTTTTCTCGTTCTCCGATAAAATTGGTGGCGTTCGCCAAGGTGATATGGCCCTAAAGAATGAGACGTGCCCACGTATTGGAGTCCCTGAATCTCTCCACCTGTAACCCCAATCCTCCATACCAAGAAATTACAAGAAGGCTTCGCAAAGCTTAGCTCAATAAGACTTAGCCACCTCCATAAGGCGTGGAATTTCTATACACTAAGCCACTGGATGGACCTCTAGGGCGCTCTATTCTCCTTAAATATCTTAGTGCATCGCTTCGGGGGCTTCTATCTATTTACGTGAGAGTCCGGTGAAGCCATGTGTTGGAACCAAGATAAAAGATTCAATATCTTAATATACTAGTAGTAATCTAGTTATACTAGATACAATAGGGCTAGTTACCATACGCTTCGCACTTAGTACTTTACTAGGAACTTAAAAATACTTTTTTTCTTTTCCCGACCGTTGTAGTTTGTATACTATAGGTAAGTTCTATAAGTTAATTCTATTATCTATATCTCTATATTACTTATTTATCTATATCACTTATCTCTTCTCAAAGATCAAGAAGTACAATAGTGCTAACAACTTTCTAAACCGATCTCATCCTCCTTACTTAACTATAGCTGACCTGGGGAATAGTAATCCTTCCTCGTTCATTAATTATTTATAACTATAAGACCGTAGTAGCTTCTAGGGACACCTACTCTTCCTTTACTGTTGAATAGGGTCTAACTAAGGACACCTTTGTGTCTATTAACCTGGGTATTACCTACCTAGATCTTATGAGCGGTCAAAATTACTATATGGTTGGTATAGTTATATCTACTAGACCCACTATAACAGCTTCTTCTATAATAACTACTTCTATAATCACTAACTCTATGTCATCGTTAACGTTAGTCTTATTATCGTCTTCGACTTGGTCGATCTTATCAACCTCGTTATCTTTAACTCTATATAAGCCTCAATAAACTAAGACTACTGTTACTTGTAACTAATACTACCTAGTGGTAAAGAGCGACTTATATAGTGTTATTAAGAGCTAGTATAATATCAGCTTAACCGAATTTCTTATCTAGAACCTATTACTTAACTCTAGTAAGTTATATTCCTCTTATGAATTTTGCGTATCAGCAGTAAAGTACATAAGAATAAAGCTCTTATACTGATATATACTATAGATTATACTAACCTCCTGGTCGGATACTACTATTATATTGATATCCCTAGCGCCACCAAGGTTACTACTAATACTACCACCAAGGTCTTAACTATAGTTACTCCTGCCGAGAGTATTACTACCCCTACCCCTATTTAGACTAGTATGACTACTACTTGCAACAAGTTCGACCTTATCTAATCTGGCGATACCTACGCTATTATCGCCAACAAATATAATATCCCCCTAACCAGCTTCTACGACTAGAACCTAGCCGTCGGCTCTTCTTATACTTACCTTAATGTGGGCGACTACGTCTATATAGATATTATTAGCTCCACCGCCACGACCTTAACCACCTTAACTACCTCTTCTAGTAACGGGATTCCTACCTCTACTCCCTTTAAAACCAGAATAGTAGATAACTGCATAACCTTCTACTTCGTCAGCTCAGGTGATACTTACATAAGTATTACTAGCAGCAAGGGTGTGACTGTCGCTCAGATTACAAAGTGGAATCCTAATATTGGAACCGGTTATACGGATCTTTAGTTATATAAGTATGTTTGTATTGGGGTGTAAGCCTCTATAAGATGATTCTGGGCTTTGACTAGTGTAAGAGGATGTGTATGTTTATATTGGGGTGTAAGCCTCTATAAGGTGATTCTGGGCTTTGACTAGCGCAAGAGGATATATATATATAGATGATTGATAATAGATAGATAATCAAGATAGGTAAAGGGATCATAACGAATCACAACTGGTGTACTTCACAAAAGCATATTTTAGCTTAAGTTTAAGATGGTGAAAAGAACTTGAAACTAGCCTTATAGGCCATAGTAAAGTCTTAGTTTAAATCAATATTCTAAGGTATTTAACTGATCTACCTCTCAATGGTTTTCGATATTAATATCTATAAAAAGAACTTCATCTATAGAAAGATTATTACCGGTCATATAGGGAACTGAGTAAGTCTTTTAGAGCCATAAGGCTATTTATAAATATTCCTAATCACCTAAGAATATTTCCTATGTATATATAGGAGGTACAATTTATAAATAACATAAGGAAAAAGGGTCTTCAAAGTGAAATCGTTGATCATGTTTATTTATAAAATATCATAAAACTATCTATTGTATCAAATAGAAGATCGATAGATTTAAGATTCAAATCAAAACCGCTCCATCATTTAATTGCGTTCAACATAACCTCACCAGCGTTAGTATGTTTGGCCAATGTTCTGCTTTGTGACCCCCCAGAGCTAAACATTTATTAGCAGGATTTCTAGTCAGCAGAAATATTGACAGCTTTGCACGGAAAATCGTAGGGCCTCCGCATTGAACAGCTCTACATATTAAACGCGTCTGTAGGCGGCCGGTAAGAAAGAGAATAATCATTGATCCAGCTCGAAAAACGCAACTAAAAAACAAATTGAACAATGCCATCCCAGCTTACCATTGGGAGACCCCTTCTCGCAAGCTTGTTCTTTCTTTTAACCATTATTTTGACACGGAGTATTCCCTAATCGGCGTATAAAGCTAAGTCCCGAACTGAGATTCTAGTCAAATGATTTTGCTTAGGCTAACCTTCAATAGAAGCTTCTACAAGTGGTTCTTCGGGACTGAATAAACTTTCCGCAGCAGAAGTCCCGTGTATAGGTAGAGGGGCATCAGGCAAATCTTCCATAGAATATGCCTCAGGAATAATCCATTCCTCGACAGACTCTCCGACGGAAGTTGGGAGGGAATAATATCACTGTCTAATTAATTGTAGGGAAACAACAGCAGCAGCAGCAGCATCAGGGTTTACCTTAAACTGCCATCACATTATTCTCTGGCTCAGATCTTGGCGTCGGGGAATTTCTTAGACATCTAAAATTGCCTCGAAATTTCTAGTAGAAGCAAGCTGCTATTTGCCACAGCTTGACAATCCGCATCTTGCGACACGCCACCGCCAAAGCAAATACAGCATTATAAAGAGCATACAAGAAAGTCTAGCGAATATGGTTGGCTGGTAAGAGAAGTACGTCGGTCCTGTGTATCCCTACTTTCTCTGCTTTTCCACTGGTTACTACAGTCTAGACACCATATTTCCTGTTTTGGGTTAGTGTCAAGGACGTAACCAAATATAGTGCAGCAGCATAGTAACTCCCCTCGACAACTTCTCTAAGAACTGACTTACCTAGTATAATACAATTATAGAAGAAGCTTTTCGGAATTTGATAGTAGGGAAAGTTCAGGAGTTGCTTGTATTCTGCGGGATCGGCGACTGTGACTATGAACCTTTTAAACAGCATATCCTAGGTATTTCTGATTTTGGTAAGTCCCGGATTGCTCCTCAACAAACTATTTCCACTGATACGTATAGTCTGCGAAATGCGGCTATAGGTAGGGATAATAGATCTACTGCCTCTCCTTACTCTTAAAGCTAGTCTAGATCCTGAAGTAAAGTGTGGCTCTTACTGGTTATTTCCTATACCTAATAAAAGAAGTAGAGTAGACTATAAAGGGCTAGATGCGTAGTCTTATAAGAAGAAAAGAAGAAAGAAAGGAAATAATACTAAAGATGTGACGCAAGAGACGAACAAGCCCGTAGCACTTTAGGAAGGTAATAAAACAACTGGACCTCTGTTGACTAAGGCGAACGCCATACCTCAGGCTAAGACTCCTTTGACCGCCATGGACACCTCTTAGTACGGGAAAGCGCTGTATAGGATTATTAAGAATATACT